CATTGTATGCATCATCATTTCCAGAGTAGGACCGTGGACGTGGTACATTCCCAGACTTTTCGCCGGCATCATCAGTGAGTCTCGCCACTCTTAGCACCATTCAACAACTCGTCAGAGACAAGTTCAGCCGATCCTTTAGCCAAACGTGTGCTAAACAGTTTTGGTATCTCCCCTTCTGCCCTGGGCTATTCACATTTCTTATATAGGCACGGCAAAAATTGAAAAAGGGAAAGTGTGAAAGGAGGATGTAGGAAATGTGAATAGGCCAAGGCAGAAGGGGAGATACCACAACAGTTTCGCACGCGTTCGGTCAAAGGATCGGCTTCACTTGTCTCTTTGACGAGTTGTTGAATGGTGCTAAGAATGGCGAGACTCACTGATGATGCCGGCTAAACGTCTGCGAATGTACCACATCCACGGTCCAACTATGGAAATGATGATGCATACAATGGACTCAGGACAAGGTGCGTTCATCTAAGTCTTCCTACCAACATGACCGAGTTGCGAAAACAAGGTCAAACAACTTCTGTAAAATTTGCTTGATGAAAACTTGTCTGAAAGGGAAGCTTTCACGGAAACGGAGATTCGAGTCTTGGCCTGCCTTTGTGGTGCATCCCGATTAAGGAAATGCTGACAGAAGTTGGTTCTAGATGGTAGCGTCATGTTTTGGCAAAATATCATCTTGAAAGACATTTTTAGACACCAAGAGAGGTAATCTGAGAAGAATTCAGACAATCTTGATTAGAAATACGAGAGTTTGTCGGCGTACTTCGATTTTGCACAAATGGGATAAGTGGAATAACGCTAATAGGACTCGAAATTCATTACATTTACGGTGTAATTGAGATGAAGCACAAGTATTCGATTACCCGTAACGCCATTTTTGTTGTAAACTAGGAGACTTTTACGCGGATCTAATTGGCCATCATCACATCATCTGTTCGCTTGAAACCAACCGAAGCTTAGTGGCACTAAAATCCACCAGATGCCTTTAAAGACTATGCTCCCTTTTCACAGTCAGGGTGGGAAATTTCGTCGGAATCCTACATTAAACTTGCTCAGCCATAAAATCCAGTATCAAATCCTCATATTAAGCATTTATCCTATTTTGCTTGACTGTTAACTGTTAAATGTTAATTCGACTGCGACAGAAATGAACTTCCAGTTTCTATTTTTGGGTTTGCGTTCATCTAAAAATCTTCTAAAATCCTGTTTCAGCTGGAATTTCACTGTCCACACACAGCCGATCTGCTCGGACTCCTTAAACAACTGGGTCTGTCGCCGCCGTCCGGACAAACTACAACCGCGCCATCGTCCCTTCAGGAGGATCCTGTACCTCGCATCTACAAGAAGGAGGATTATTGGCTGAACTTAAAGCCTCTGGTGAGTCCGCGTATGAAAGACTTAGTATTAAGTACAACATTCTTTATGTCTTCTCTAAGTCTCTTTCCGCATACGCAAAGTTTCCCTATTCACGGACTGTCAGTTGTCTACACAAAATTTTACTTTAAAACGCCAAGGCTTCAAAGTTTAATGTTGGAAGGCCTGTTTAGGAATCTTGAATCGTCACAGCAAGCGCTTCATCGGTTTCAACCACCTCAAAACCGCTTTCTTCATGCATGACTCACTCGAAATAACCATCTATACAAGACCTACTAAGGTCTGATGTGTCCGAAGTTAGAGCCACGGATTTCACAATTTTGCGGTCAGTAAAGTTAGTATTTTTCACCAAACTTTACCTCCGAGGCTTCGAAAACTATCTATTTCCATCAACACTGCTGATCACTTCTTGCATAAATAGAACTGGGCTCGGCTTTTGACAGACTAATATGCAGGATTGATGTGAAGACGTTTATTTCGTATGGAAGTACATGAAAAAGATATTCGTACGTCAATCTCATCAGAAGACGTCGGCTGATTTGCGATGTACAGCAACAGTTTGGCATTCACACAACGTTCAGGTTGATGCGAAGATGGACTGAACTTTCTTTCTTGATGTGACACCAAGTCCTGACTTAGTGTTAACTTGAGGCTTTTGTAGGAATGAGTCCCAGCTCTGACGATGTTCGTCCCGGGACGAACGAAAGCTCATCTCGTCTTCGCCCGAAACGATGGAGGATGTCTCGTGGACTGCATCAAGCGGAACGTCGTGATAAGGCCAAATGGCTGGAGTACAACGCGAATGGCACATACTTCCATACGAAATGACAATCTTCACATCAATGTTATCTCAGGAGATTCTTCAAAAACCCATTTTTTCGTAAATATATAACATGTAGGAATATGAGATGTAGGCACACTATTTCGTTTCGTATTGAATTTTCCCACATTCACAAGAGTATATCTTACGCATCCACTGCATTTTACGTAGCCCTGCTTCCCAAAAGGTATTCCCATCCCAGCTCGAGTAAGCTGCAGTTTCGACCTCGCCTGAACCGGTCTCACCAGCACCCCCAGGGGGACTAGAGCCAAGATAGTGCAGCGTATCGTCTCGACAGGTCAACCACTACGCCACACTTGCAAGAGTCTCCTTGGCTTGCGGGACAGATGTGAATTTCAAGGATGAGCAAACATTTTCACATATCCCATTCTTTGGTGGGATTGTTATATTTCCTATGAAAATCGACTTTATTACTTATTCTCTGTTTATAAGTAGGCTCTCGAGATTACCAGTAAATTAGTGATATGAAAAACTATAATTGTTATAATGAGATGTATTCACCCTATTTCGTGTAA